TTTAGGGCGGGCTACACGGTGATTGACAGGTCTCTACCACGACGTTGACCAGCCGGAGTTGTTGTGTTTTTGTCTTAGAACTTTAACCCTTTCACAGTGTGATTTCACTTCATAAAAGTTAATAGTAACATTTTGGTCGCTTAAAAATGTCTTATTCAGAGTTTTATTTAGCTCCACCCTCTCGTGTCTCTTCTGGTTGCAAAAAAACAAGATGGCAACAGACAAAAACCAAGATGGCGCCGGAATAAAGTGCCCAGCTCGAGGCTTCAAAACACAAATCAGTCCACAAATCAATGGGTGACTCTTCTAAACGGTCTATACATGAAACATGTCTGTATAAACTTTGACCTGCTGGTGATGAAAAGTCAGAATATCATCAAAGTCATCAGGGTTCATCCTCTGGAGACCAAGAATATATGTACAAAATATGACTACAATCCTTCCAATAATGTTTAAAAAAACACCCACCTCTGACTGAGGCGATATATTGTGTTTGATTGATGTGTTTTGTCAGTATGGCGATACTTCAGCCCCGGTTGTCAGCATGGTTTCAAGCGTCAATTGATAATATTAGAGGCCCCGCTACGCTAATGGAATAGCAGAACCAGCAGATTTGTAACTGGCACTGGTTTGAATGCGGTGGCATTTGCGGTGGCCGGGCGTGAATGAACAGACACCAGCAGTGATCCTGGCAGAGGAGAGTATAAATAGCACGCAGAGGGAGGCAGCCGCATGCCTTCCACTGCGCCGGGCCAGCTGTCGGAGTTTCTCTTCCTCAAACTCTCGTCATGTTGACAGCGAATACTGGAGGAGATCAAAACACACACAGGCGTCCCACGCACAGAGACGGCCCTGAAGTCCTCACATACGAGCCTGGAGGTGGACGTCTCTTTTACTAGTTCTTTTTTTGTGTTAGTGTCACGATGTGAAACTGTGAAAACATGTTTTCATGTGGTGGCAACGTGTGCTTGGACCTAAAACTACTTAGTTTACAGAGCTGTTTAAAACAGGACAGGTCAAATAAAACAGTCACCTGAGCTGTGGACATTCTCGTAGTAATGTAACTAAAGATAAAAAGACAATAACGACTCAGACAAGATATCGATAACATAAGTAGAGATAAAGATAAAGATAAGAAAGAAAGAATAAAACAATCCAAAAATTTAAATAAACATACAAATCTTAAACATACATGTTTCCCGCTTGTTGCAGCAGCACAAGCAAAGCAATGAAGATAAATAGAAAAAGCTAAATAAATATCTAATAACATTTATGTCAAACTAAAATGCGTATGAAGTAAATATAATAAAAGAAGTATACAAGAGCATTTGGAGACATAAAGGAATAGTAACAGTGAATAATAACTATTAAAATCTAAATGTAGACTTCTATCGTCCAGGACTCACATCATTGATCCCATCTCAACCTCCTCCCATGATGCACCGCTGACTACACTTCCTGCTCCTCTGTGACCTGAACCCCTTCTGATCAAACACATGTCAGACTGAAGGTTTTAAAGTCGGGAGAAACTTCACACCAACAGAACACGTTTACCTCAGTCAGACGATGAGACGGTGTCTCAGGTTCAGGTGACACCGCTGCAGAAGAAGAAGAAGACGACCTAAAGTGTCCCGTCTGTCTGCCTCTCTGTTCGTCCTGAGTGTTAATGTCCAAGTGTAACCCACCGGCTTTCTAACCCCCCGCAGCCTCTGCTGATTGGTCGACCATGTGCGTGAGTTATGAGCTGTTACACCTCACTCACCCCGGCCCCCCCGGCCCCCCCACCCACGCAGAGTGTGTAGAATCTTTCATTTGCAGTGTTGGAATGTCACAAAGTACATTTAGAAGTATTCGAGGTACTAGTACTCTCCTTTTTATAACACTTTCTACTTCTACTATATTACATTTATCTGACAGCGTGAGTTACTTTATAAATAAAATGTTTGCTCACAAAACACATGAAGAGTTTAAGAAATATGATGTTTCTGTGTCTGGTTATTTGTTTGGAATATATCGGAGTATTTTGTGACTCTACTTCTACTTTCAACATGTTTTGCATTGTTAGCACTTAGTTGCACAATAAAAATGAGAAGAATTAATAAAATAAACAACCCGACTGTTTATTAAAGCACAGCTGAAACAATCCGTTGATTCATTCACAAGCTGAGTGACAGGAAGTTAATTATTGTAATACTCATTTCATCATTTTTCACAGACATTTAATAGATACTTGAAATGTACTTTGAATAAATTATAATTCAAAATGAAACCAATAGAACAACAATACTACTGCATGATATTAAACGGTACAATTAAACCTGATAAATACATAAAAAAAAAAAAACAACTTAAGTAAATTTATTTTTCACCTGCAAAATCATCAGATTTGTTTTTAACCATTAAAAACTCAACACGTGAATATTCTAAAGAGAATAAACTGGAGATGAAGTTCTGTTTGAATACGAGTATATTTTAAGAGTCCGTTTCACTTCCTGTCCACCGACACACAGAGATGATCTATACATTCCTGTGGGCATTAACACAATACCAGCGGAGTGTGTGTGTGTGTGTGTGTGTGTGACCCTCTCCCTGGCAACATGTGAATGGGATCAGCGACGGACCAATAGTGGAGCTGTGGAGGACGTCTGCTCCCACGTCAAAGGCTTTTTGTCACTTTGGTTCCTCTCTGCTGTTGGCGGGTGAAGTCTGCTAAACATAGAAGTGAAAGGTATTCACACGTAGAGATGAATCAATGAACACGAGTTATATTGATTAACGCTGAGGATCTTCCAGTGTCCCTCATTGGATCTTATTTCATAAATATTATATGAAAGAAATCATCCAAAATACACATTTAGGTGTTTTATTTTACTACTTTGTCTTTTTTAGTCTGTAGATTTCTCCTAAATTCACCATTAGATAATTCCTCATTTGTATATTTAAGCATCACATTTATGGGGAGAAAAAAAACAAAAAAAAACAAAAAAAAAAAAACACGAATAGAGCGTTTCATAAAACTAGAGAGAGGAAGGGATGAACCCCGACAGTCTGTTGTTGTTTAATCATGTTATCTAATAATTAACATTTGTTTATTAACCGGCCCCGTGGCAAAGAAAGTCAAGTATCCCTGCTTTAACACTTCTTTTATGAAATACTAAACTCAACATATATTACATCATTTAGGTTGTGGACTCATTGTAAGGAGGCGGGCTGGACTATCGACACATGCAGCTGTGTTTTAAACAGGAGGTGGGAGCAGGTCCTCCACAGAGACTCTCTCACTCACTGTCCTGATCC